AATTTTAAATACATATAACTTCATTTACGTGAAATGTTCATAAAGTTTGTAACTTTGGTTATAAAGTAAAAAATGAAGTGATTGAAAATGTGTACATTTATTAGCTTTTTTTTACCTTTGAATCCTGTAGAGTTACACATTTTTCCCAATGATGAAAGATCTAATTATTAGATCTAATTAAGATATAATTATTGTAAAAACCAACACACTTGTCTTTTAACAAAATTAAAATTAAACTTAATAAACTGTTCATAAATTTTATAAATTTGTAATAATATCTTATTAACATTTTTTAAAAGACAATGTGTCTATTTTTATAATTACTATATCTGACAGATCTTGTCAGGAAAAATGTGTAACTTCGCAGAATTTATATGTAGAAAAGATTAATAAATGTGTTTTACTACATTTTCTCCTTTAAGTAGGCAAAGGAACAAACTTTATGAATGTCTTATGTATACATATAATTTAGTAAACCTTCAGTCTTATTATATCTTATTAATCTTCTTCGTCTGATAATTCTTGTGTTGAGTATTTTTTACTTTCTATTCTCTCTAGTATCTTAAGTTGCCTTTGTAAGATACTATTTCGTTCTTTTTGCAATTGTAATTGTTCTATTTGTAATTCATTACATTTTTTAAGCTCCGTCAGATATTTTGTACGTGTTTCTTGTTTGGCATCACTTTCTCTTTGTAGCACAGCACAGATGGATTCCTTAAGTGATTGTAGAGTATGCGCCAATTTGCCATCTCGTACTTTTGCTTTTGTATTTATTAAAGATGAGCAACTGCTATCCGTCATGGACGATTTGCTGCTACCTATTACTGATTGAGATTGACTGTTAACTGCAGATGGTGTCGAAGGTGGCGAGTCTAGTGCAATAGAAGATTGTTCTTCATTTACATTCCTATAATAGAAAACATTTTAAATTATATCTAAAAATATATCTAGAAATGAATTAAAAAACATTTTAAGGAGATGATTACTCACTGAGACAAATGTTGACTGACCACTTTTTGCAAAATGTCTTCTTGAGAAACCATTCCATTGCGGCCAGCTACAAAAGATGGCACTCCACTGTGACTTTTTCCAAATAAGTTTATCATTTCACTGTAAAGATACATATGTATTCTATTACTTACTTATTAAATACTAAATATAATACTAACTACTTAATAAAAACAGAATATTGTAAGAATGACAAAATAAAAATATGAAACAAATCGACTGAACTATTAATTATAATGTTTAATTCAAAAATATCATATATATAATTATATACAGAAAACACAAGATAGAACTTACTCTTTAAATGGAAGAGGTTTAGTGCCTTTTCCAGAACTATTTTTTCCCATGGTCTGTTTGATATGTTTATCCCATTTCTTCTTCAACAATTTAAATTTATTTTTCATGTGATTTTTAGTAGCATTCACATAACCTCTTTCTTGGAAGGATTCTGCTATCGCTTGAAACATAGCCTCTTTACTTTGATATTTTCTTTTCTGGAATTTTTTTTCATGCTGTTCATACTCTGTGAAAAACAACATTATGGTTTTATAGTCCCAAATAAAATAGCCATCATTATTGACACCAGAAGTATTCTCTTTTTCATTATCTGAGTCTATAATTGAAGAGTCCAATGAAGACACAATTGTAGGCGTGTGCTGCATAAAGCTTGTTACAGGAATCGTAACAGAAGAACTCTCATGGATTTTAATCTGAGGCTGAATTTCAGAAGGACCTGCTTTATTTAGTAAAGCATTCACAATTGAAGAGTCTAGTGAAGACAAAGTTGTAGGTGTGTACTGCATAGAGCTTGTTACAGGAACTGTAACAGAAGGACTCTCGTGGATTATAGTCTGAGGTTGAATTGTAGAAAAACTTATTTTATTCAGTACAGAATCCAAAGGCGCAGTTGTGGTTAGGAACTGTGTCGAGTTTGTTGTAGCAGTTACAACAGAAGTACACGCAAAAGTCTGGGGAGGCTTAATTAATTTTAATGATACCAGTTTAGGTTTCACAGCTGAAAAATAAAACTATTAATATAGTACAATATTTATGCAATTTAAATTATCTTAGAATAAAATCATTTAATCTATCTCTTAGAATTTATTTTATTAGTTAATTAAGTAAAAATATAAAAAGTATTATGAGTATTTAAGTAATCAGCATCATATATAAAATTCTTACCTGAATACTTAAAAGAAGTTTCCATTGTGAAATATCAAGACAGTGACGGCGTAGCCGAATAATAAAAGCGAGGTTATTGGACTACCCGACTCTTGAGCAGTGGATACTGTTTACAGTACAAGCTTCACACGCATGCGCGATAAAATAGCCCCAAATGCACCACCTTCGAAGGTGAGGCAAATAGAGCGTGCTCCTAATTGCTCCTTAGAGTATGCTCTAACGTGACGCGAACATCTAGTCGCCATCTTGTTTCCGGTGACACGAACGTATTGGAGCGCATTGGAGTGAGAAGGAGCATGTTAGGGCATGCGACGCGAACAAACCTTCGAAGTCATGCCGGCGGGGGCTATGCCCCTGGTAGGTTCAACCTTGCCGGATGAGTTTGGAAGGAGAGGACAGACTAAGAATGCACCAAACGTCTTAAGCCAAGGTGTAAGGCAACGTGCCGATGGCTGCTTGGCCACGAAGACGTGAAACAGCGCGGTCGCAAACGTTCCCTCTGGGGTACCTGCCGACCCCCCAGAGTAGCTAGGCTTGGTGATATCATGGAGGCTCTGAATCACTTGATACTTGTTCCTACCATACTCGTGGGATGAAAAATGGAGAAAAATGAAAAAACTAAAAATACACTCAAACCAAAGTTAACGATGAAACACAAACCCGGAGATAAAGAACAGGACCCGTTCAAGAGAAGGGAGTCTATTCCCAGATCACCACCACCATCGGCGAAAATAATAACTGGAGGAATAAATAGGCCTTGCTTTAGCGCTTTGCTTGAACAAGGTGAGGAGGCATACGACTCTCCGGCTGAAAAAAAAAACGACAAAACGCCCCAGTTCAAAAAATACCAGAGAAACTGATGATAATGATGTATTTATTTTTCCTGAACCTGTTCAAAAAAGCAGTGCGAATAGTGTGGAAAGAGAGAAACTGGAACAAAAAGGCTCACCGAAAGTTGAAAAGGACGACAAGGAAGTTACGCTAGAAGAAGTGAGATCTGAAAGAGTAGCTCTAGAAGAGTTTCTCTTTAATGAAAACAATAAAATCAATAAGAATACAATTAAGTTCATATTGTCTAAGTGGGTGCTACTAGAAGGGAAATTACAAGAGAGTATCGTTGAGAGAGAAAAATTAAAGTGTACTTACCTGGCATCGAAAAATTCTATCAGTTCGATGTCCTATGTTCAAGTGGCGTTCACTCCATGGTCCGGAACAGCAGCATCTGAAACAGAAAAAAAAGAAATTATCCAACGTACTACACTAAAAAGCGGATTCAAGACTAATTCTTCGGTAATGATTGTTAAGCCTTTAAATGAAAAGGACAATTTAACGTGTGAGGATGTCAAAGAAAAACTTACAAAGAAAATGAATCCGTTAATTAAAGAAATAAGGATTAAAAGAATGAGAAAGGTGGGAGACAGAGGCATTCTAGTGGAAACGGAAGGTGGAAACGAATTAAAAAAGATCCAGCAGATAATAGAAGACAATGAATGCGGGCTGAAAACAGAGCTGCCTAAGAAAACTGGACCCAGTATGATAGTATATGACGTAGAAAAGTCGGTCACAAAGGAGCAGTTTATGGAACAATTTTGGTCTAAGAATGTTGAAAAACTTGGAATCGCCAAGCAGGAAAATGAAAGCAGGGTTAAATACAGATACAACACATTTGTTAAAACCAGAAATACTAATAACTGGGTAATAGAGGTGACAGGAGAGATAAGAAGAAAACTCTTGGAGCAAGAACGACTATATATTGACTGGAGATCATACAAGGTTAATGATTACTTAGCCTTGACTAGGTGCTTCCGTTGTCTAGGCTTAGGCCACAGTGTTAAACACTGCAAGGAAAAGACCCCCACTTGTGGACACTGTGGGGGGGGGGGGCGGGCCATATAAGCACCAATTGCTCAGAGAGAGAGAGAAATCTGCAGTCTGCGCTAATTGTACAAGAGCTAAAAGGAAAGACACACATCATACTGTAAGTGACAAGAGATGCCCGGAGTATCTAAGAGTAACTGAAATCGTAAAGAATAAAATAGATTATACATAATGATAAAATTCTTTCAAATAAATGTTGGCCGTTCGCAGACGGCATCATACGAATTAAGATTAAAAGTAGAGGAACAAGGCATTGATGTGTGTCTGATACAAGAACCATACGTATTCCAAGGACAAGTCAAAGGCTGCGCTTCACTTGGTGCAAGAGTTGTTCAAAGTAATAAGGTGACGAAAATCGAACGGCTGATTGTAAACTGAAAAGACCTAAGAACATTATTGCGTTAAAGCTCATGCAAATCGTGACATGCAACATGCATCATGCATCATTTTTTATTAATATTCTTTAAAATAGCGCTCGGCCGCACCGGTATACGTATACCCCGCGCCTGCGAAAAGAAAGCGCTTACGTTAAATCCCCGATAATTGTAAACACCGCGGTCACGCGAGAGGAGATACACTTTAGTTCCGATAACAATAAAAAGATTATTTTTCTAAAAGTAAACAATTACACAAAACGCTCTTTCGACCTCAGCAAAACGATAGAATAAAGAGGATTCTTCTCGACTATTCTAGAAACACGGGCCTATAAAAGCCTCCTCTCTCGTGATCGCGGCGCTCTTCTCCGATTGCTCGTCGTGTCAAGAGTGTGTTGCTACTGTTAGAAAAAGATCGCTTATCTTTTTCTCTTTACCACGTCTAATTACCGTTGCTTGCGGAACGTTTAATTATTAATTACCGACTCGGCTATTTCTTTTGGATTCTCCTAATCCGTTAACTTTTTGTAAATTCTGTGCGGTTTTCAGTATTTGTAATTTTCTTTGTTTTTAGTTAAAATATAGTTATATTAAACGATACGTGTTTGTCGAGTGTCGTGCTTCGCCGTCTTCTCGCTTCCGACATCCTTATCCTGCCTTCCGTCGCGCACATTATTTTTGGTCCTTCGAGCCGGATCCTCCAGAACCTCCTGTGAATCCGGTGCCACGGAAGCGTAGAGTCTTTCAGTGTAGGTGAACAGTGCATCTGAAAATAAGACAGTGTCAGAGATGGCAGACACAACGACTATAATTACCAACGCCACCGCGCTATATGGCAAGATTTCGCGCGCATACGATAACCTTCGTAAGCTCGGCGAGGCCAACATCACACTCGGTGCAGTGGAAGCCCGGCTTCTGAATCTCGACAAACTGTGGGAGAAGTTCGATGCGATGAATGATATCTTGGCTGAGCGTGTAGACGAAATAAAGCATGACGTCTATGCTAAACAGGACATACCTTCACTCGGCGAAGAGTCTTATCTAGTGAACAAGGGCCTGATGTTGGAGATGCGGCGTACTCTCCAGAAGAAGGAACGCGCCGCTGCTTCTGCTACTTCAGAGACATCACCATCGGCGCCTCGCACCACGCTACCTCGAATCCAGCTGCCGACCTTTACGGGAAGATACGAGGATTGGCCGGCCTTCCGAGACCTCTTCGTCTCCCTCATCGGCCAGGATAAGACGACGAAGCCTGTGGAAAAAATGCATTACTTGAAGAGCTGTGTCAAGGGCGAGGCAGATCTTCTCATCAGAGACCTCAGTTCTACCGAAGCCAATTACGAGCGAGCCTGGCGAACTCTAAGCGACTACTACGAAAATAAGCGCTTACTAACCCGCTCTTATTTAACGAATTTTTTAAGCCTGCCAAAGATGAAGGGAGAATCCTCTACTGAGCTTAGGAAGATATTCCACGGCATCAAGACTACGGTCAGCTCGCTGGCGAGCATCGACCGGCCAGTAGGGAGTACTGAAGATCTCTTTGTGCACCTCGCCGTTGACCTTCTCGATAGTCGCTCTCGCCGCGAGTGGGAGACCTCCATCAGTGAAACGAACGAGCCTCCGCCATACGCTCTGCTAGAGCGATTCCTTGAGCGACGCCTTCATACTCTGGAGTCGTTGCCCTCGACGAAGATCGACGTCTCGTCCAACAAGGCCAGCGGGAGTCAGTCGAGGTCGACTCGTACGCACCATGCTCGTAAGCTGGACTCAAAGGAGCTCAAGGGAAACACTAGAGGACGCTGTTCAGCCTGCCAGGGTGACCACTTCGTGATGCTGTGCGACGCTTATAGGAAAATGACGGCCTCAGAGCGCAAGCAGCACGTCGAAGGCAACGACTTGTGCGGAAACTGTCTCGGCCGACACAAGACCAAGGAGTGCGCCTCCAAGAAGAACTGCTCTGCGTGCAATGACCGGCATCATACCTCACTCCATGATGCCTACCGCTCATCGGAGACCGTCAAAACGGCGCACGTCAGCAAGGGACCGGTTCCGACGCCTGTAGCGGTACTTTTGGCCACGGCACGCGTTCGCGTATGCGATCGCTATGGTTCCTGGCAGTCCGTTCGCGCCCTCGTCGACCAAGGCTCGGAATCCTCCATTGTGTCGGAAAGGCTCACCCAACGCTTGAGGCTAGCACGGAGCTCCGCTTCAGTTTCCGTGTATGGAGTCGGCGGGAAAAAGACAGGCGTCTCAAAAGGTAAAGTGGTACTCACCCTCCAGTCTCTTAGTGGCTGCCCTTCCATCACCGTCCACGCCCTGGTGCTGCCGAAGCTGACCATCTACGCCGGCGGCTACAACGGCGGCGGGCATAACTGGCCTCATCTTCAGGGTCTGGAGCTCGCGGACCCTGATTACCGCTCAGCTGATCCGGTTGACATCCTCCTTGGCGCGGACGTTTACGGTTCGATCCTCTGTCAGGGCCTAAAAAAGGGAAATCGACATGAACCAATAGCTCAACAAACCACGCTCGGCTGGATACTGTCAGGCGTTGTTGGTGAGACGACTACCGGACATCACGTTCACACTCACCAATGCCGAGTTGAGGACGACGTCTCTATCCTGGTGCGACGCTTCTGGGAGCAGGAGGAGCTTCAACGGCCTTCACAACTCTTCTCCAAGGCTGACCAGGAGTGCGAGGATCACTTCCTGCGACATCACAGTCGTACAGCCAACGGTCGATATGTGGTGAGACTGCCGACGATCGAGCCTCTGCCTGATCTCTCAGCCACTCGACGCGCCGCCAGTCGAGCCCTGCAACACGTCAGCAAAAAATTAGAACGAGAAAATACCTTCCGCAGCATGTACGTGGATTTCATGGAGCAATACTTGGACCTCAACCATATGAAGCCGGCTCCCCTGTCGACTATTGGATCTCTACAGCGAATTTGCTACCTTCCTCACCACGGGGTCCTGCGCGAAAGCAGTGCCTCTACTAAGTTGAGAGTGGTTTTCAACGGTTCGAGCTCTTTGGCCAACGGCGACTGTCTCAACCGATTCCTGATGACGGGACCCAACCTGCTTCCCGCCCTAGCTGACATCCTACTACGGTGGAGAAGGCACCGGTTCGTCTTTGCTACCGACATTGAAAAAATGTACCGGCAAATCCTGGTGCATGCCGATGATCAGAGCCTGCAAAGAATATTGTGGAGGAAGGACTCGGAGACAGAGATCAAGGAATATTGGCTGACTACTGTGACTTACGGTTTAGCCTGCGCTCCATACTTGGCCATCCGCACGCTGCATCAGCTCGCCGTGGACGAAGGCGATCGTCATCCTGAGGGAGCCGCGGTCCTCCGCTCCGACGTTTACATGGACGACATCCTGTCTGGAGCTTCTACCCTCCAGGAAGCCAAGGAAATCCTCCGACAGCTTGTTCTGGTCTGCAAGGCGGGAGGCTTCCCTCTGAAAAAATGGTCAGCTAATCACCCGCAGTTACTTTCGACATTACCTACCGAGGACTGCCTCCAGCAAGAGGCAAGATGGTGGCTGCCTGGGGAAAGTCATGCCACCCTGGGATTACGGTGGCAACCTTGCGACGACCTCTTCTCCTTCGCCACCAGCCAACCAACGCTGTCCACGATCACAAAGCGGTCAGTCTTATCGTTGACAGCGAAGCTGTTTGATCCGCTCGGTTGGCTGTCTCCCACGACTGTTCTCGCCAAGACTCTAATCCAGTCTACTTGGTTGCTCGGCATCGACTGGGACACTCCTCTTCCGGACGACCATGAGAAGGCCTGGTTACGCTTCCAAGCGGAGCTCCCTCAACTGGAGAGACTGCACGTTCCTCGATGGCTGGGCGGAGGATCGACTGACTGCCGCCTGGAAGTCCACGGATTCGCTGACGCCTCAGTCCGTGCCTACGCCGCTGTGGTGTACCTAAAAACCGAGAAGAACGGGGAGTATGGAGTTACGCTGATTGCCGCCAAGACGAAAGTTGCTCCGCTAAAACAAATCTCCTTACCTCGGCTCGAATTATCAGCCGCAACTCTTCTGGTCCGCCTCGTTCAGCAAACGCTGCCTCTCATCGGAGCTGAAAAGGCGCCTCTTCATCTCTGGTCAGACTCCACAGTGGTTCTCGGCTGGATCCGTGGACATCCTTCTTCCTGGGTCACATTCGTTGCCAACCGGGTCAGCGAAATTCAGACGTCGCTCCCCGACGCCCTTTGGCATCATGTCCCTGGACGCGAAAACCCGGCCGACTGCGCCTCTCGAGGCATCTTCCCTGGAGATCTTGAGGCGCATCCACTTTGGTGGCAGGGTCCCTCTTGGCTGAAAACGGAGAGCGGCCCTTGGACTGTCTTCGGAGAGGATCCCAGCAACGTCGAGCTACCAGAACGTCGAGTCCGTTCGCACGCTGCAGTCTTGGACAAGCGAGGAGACGAACCGGAGCTGCTACTCCGATACTCGTCCCTGCAGCGACTACTTCGCATCACCGCCTGGTGTCTCCGGTGGTTTCGACAACGCCGACGGCAGCCCATCCTTCTCAATCGCGACGGCGGGGTAGACGCTGAAGAACTGCATGACGCGCTGATCCACTGGGTACGGCTCGTCCAAGCTGCAAATTTCAAGGACGAGTTAAAATCGTTGCGAGGACTGACATCACTGCCCAACCGAAGCCCACTCAATAAGCTCAGCCCGTTTGTGGACGATTCGGGCGTTATTCGCGTCGGAGGGCGTCTACGACATTCTCAAATGTCTTTTCAGGCTACCCATCCAATCATCCTACCGAGCTCGTCGCGAATTACTTACCTCGTCATCGATGAGCATCACCGACGATCGTTGCATGGGGGCACCCAGCTGACCCTGTGTTCCATCCGCCAAGAATTCTGGATTCCTCGTGGACGATCCCTCGTTAAAAACCACATTCACCGCTGCGTTAGATGCCTGCGATGGCGGGCGGCTACAGCACAGCCTCTCATGGGTGACTTGCCTGCGCCCCGAGTGACGCCAGGAAGACCATTCCTCCATACTGGCGTCGACTACGCCGGACCCGTCTGGCTGCGAAGTGCCAAAGGCCGCGGGCAAAAATCTTCTAAGGCCTTCATTGTCGTTTTCATCTGTTTAGGTTCCAGGGCCGTCCATCTTGATGTCGCCTCGGACTACTCGGCCGACGCCTTCTTGGCATCCTTGCGTCGGTTCATCGCTCGGCGAGGTGTATGCCAAACGCTATACAGCGACTGTGGGACCACCTTCATAGGCGCCGACACGCAACTCCGAGACTTATTCGCAGCCACAAACCCTGAAGGCCGTCGCATCGCCTCCTTCGCTGCTCAGGAACAAATTCAGTGGCGGTTCAACCCGCCGGCTGCGCCCAACTTCGGTGGCATCTGGGAAGCGGCAGTCAAGTCAATGAAGCACCATCTTCGCAGAGTGATAGGAGAAGCTACACTCACCTACGAGGAGATGGCCACTCTCCTCTCCCAGGTCGAGGCTTGCCTCAACTCTCGGCCTCTGCAACCGCTGACCGACGACCCGGAGGACTTCAGCGCGCTGACGCCCGGCCATTTCCTCATCGGCTCCGCGCTCTCCGCCGTCCCCGAACCGTCGCTGACCGAGGAATCGTCGTCGCGCCTCTCCCGGTGGCAGCTTCTACAAAAGATGAAAGATCATTTCTGGTCTCGATGGTCTCGCGAATATCTGCACACGCTGGCTCATCGGCCGAAATGGTTCAAAATAAACCGGGAAGCTCGCGTCGGTCGACTCTGTTTAATCCGTCACGAAATGACCGCTCCAACGAGGTGGCCTCTAGCGCGCATCACCAAATTGCTCTCCGGAGCCGACGGACACGTTCGCGTCGTCGAGGTCCGCACCGCCACCACTGTCTTGACCCGACCCGTTAGCAAACTCGTTTTCCTTCCCGACGCTGACGAACTGCCACCTAAAACCCAAAGCGATTAGTCAATTCATCAACACTTAATTTGCACCGTTCCAAACTAACTCACATCAATCACAACTGCATTCCACTCACTATTCCACTCTTTGCATCGCTGCAATCTTCTTATCACTCCACTATTCGTTCATACTCAATCACGGTTAAAATCACAATCCAAATTGTCGCGTATTCCTCGATGCGCTCACCGACACGCGTATATACTGCCGCGCTCGAAAATAAACAGCTGTTCGATCCGGAATTCCTTGAGCTAAATCCGTCAGAGCACGTGCGCTCCACGTGCCCGTCATTCGCGAGAGCGTGAATAGGCGCGCCCCCTCTCTCGCACTTCTTGTTCGATTGCAGGTATACTGCAAGGCGGGCGGAATGTTCGAAAATCGAACGGCTGATTGTAAACTGAAAAGACCTAAGAACATTATTGCGTTAAAGCTCATGCAAATCGTGACATGCAACATGCATCATGCATCATTTTTTATTAATATTCTTTAAAATAGCGCTCGGCCGCACCGGTATACGTATACCCCGCGCCTGCGAAAAGAAAGCGCTTACGTTAAATCCCCGATAATTGTAAACACCGCGGTCACGCGAGAGGAGATACACTTTAGTTCCGATAACAATAAAAAGATTATTTTTCTAAAAGTAAACAATTACACAAAACGCTCTTTCGACCTCAGCAAAACGATAGAATAAAGAGGATTCTTCTCGACTATTCTAGAAACACGGGCCTATAAAAGCCTCCTCTCTCGTGATCGCGGCGCTCTTCTCCGATTGCTCGTCGTGTCAAGAGTGTGTTGCTACTGTTAGAAAAAGATCGCTTGTCTTTTTCTCTTTACCACGTCTAATTACCGTTGCTTGCGGAACGTTTAATTATTAATTACCGACTCGGCTATTTCTTTTGGATTCTCCTAATCCGTTAACTTTTTGTAAATTCTGTGCGGTTTTCAGTATTTGTAATTTTCTTTGTTTTTAGTTAAAATATAGTTATATTAAACGATACGTGTTTGTCGAGTGTCGTGCTTCGCCGTCTTCTCGCTTCCGACATCCTTATCCTGCCTTCCGTCGCGCACATAAGGTGACAGATACAAAAGCTGCTATAGTTTTATAGTATCAGGAAATAACTGTCACAAAAATCGAACAGTTTACGGACGAACATATAGCTTGCGCACATATGTACATAATGAAGTAAACTTATATTTGGTATCAGTTTATTGCAATTTTCCATGGAGCTAAAACTATTTTATTAATATTTGGAGACTATAATAGGAACGTTCAAAAGCCACGACATGATCTTATCAATGG